GGGGGGGAGGGGCCTCGATGATCAGTTGAGAGGCGTTAACTCACAAAATAAGGTGATTTTAGGTGATTTTCTACTATTTCAACATGATTTTTTGGGCTCACACCCCCAAGCACCCCTAGATACGCCACTGGGTCCCCTAACATAGAAATTTTCATTTTCATTTCATTTCTTTAGGCACGAGCTCCAAGGATATGCCAATAAATGAACTTAATCACTGTCGTACGTGGCATATCCAATTAACAACACGGGACTTAATGGACCAGCACACCGGGGTAACCCCCTACTCTTCTCTAAGAATGTACTGGGTTCTTTAAAGTGCACACGAGCCAAATGCGTACAAAGTCCTTATCCGAGAAGACTTGTTCCACCACCGAACCATTGGCGAGTGAGCCGTTCGAACCAGCACCGTTATTAGAGCTGAAGGTTACAGTACCCCTGACTTAACCACTCGGCCAATCAACTCAATTGGTACTTGGCTCTTAACTTGAGAAGCACTGGCTGATAAACTGTCAAAGTTAAACTAAAATCTTTTTATTTTCAATTATATAAGAAAAAATGTTATGTACAGTAATATAACACTGCCATGTAGAAGAAGTTGTACATCAATAGCACAGTGCAAATAAGTCTTGCAAATGGCTATGAACAAACTGTAGGCCCTATACTACAATTACATAATGTACTATACTTTATCTACTTAGAAAGTTAAAACTAAAGTGAACACGTTGAGATGACTATAACTCTAGGCTTATTTGTGTATAGTTTTGGCATTCCACTGGGTTACTAATAAAATAGTGGGTCATTAAGGATGACTCTCATGGAATGGGTCACAAATACAGTACTGAGTTTTTATCTGACATTTTAAGATTAACTCTGATAAAATATGGATACAAATATCAAAAAGCTTACTGTAGAATATGCATTATGTTTCAGTACTACAAGCATGCGGTAATGTGTTTGATTATACTCTGACCATCTGCGTCATTTGGTAAAGGAATTTATCCACCATCTCCCTTCACCCAGTGCGTATAAGAGGGTGCCTGGTACTGGTAGGAACAAACGCTAACTGATTACTAACTGAAACATTAGCAAATTCTCCCCAGGGAGCTGAGTATGTGCTTCATATCTTACTAACACAATGACCGGGGTAATAATATGAAGCCAAACATCTGACCCAAAATCTTGAAAATCTAGTGTTGGCTTTTTATTTTGCAAATCATTTTTTTACGATATTAAATAAGAACCCCAGGTACAGTTATGACAGGCCAAAAGAATACAGATTTAATTAATAAATCTGATAGCGTAACCGTAAATTTTAGCCCTGTTGTTTCCATTTTACCACCAGTAGCTGCAATGCATGGTTGACAAAGAACTCAATAATTAGGCATAGTTAATAAACTGACTGACATTGAATTTCAAAAGTTACTTTGTTTGGGCAGCAAAACATTTTTTTTAAATTATTATTATACTAACCACCAAATTTTGGAATAAAACAAATACAGAAATACTGGTAAGCAAAACCAAAAAAAAAGGACATTGTGTAGTAGCAGTATAATTTCAAAAAATGGTGTACTTTTTGTCATGGAAGGATACAAATGTTTAAGTGGATTACTTAGAGAGTGCTAAAAAAAAAAAAAAAAAAAAAAAAAAAAAAAAAAAAAAAAAAAAACATCTCGTACGTGTTTTCAAATCTGTCTCTTATACACATCTTATTGACTCAGTAGCATGTTTTAGTTTAAGTATACCAAAGTACATCCTGCAAAGGAACTTAGGATCCATAACCACAGGGCTAATGGTGCTGTATGTACCGGTACACCGGGTAGCCTCGTACTTATCTCGAAAGATGTACTGGGTTCTCTAAAGTCCTTATCCGAGAAGACTTGTTCTGCCACCAAAAACATGTGCGAGCATGTCGCTTAAACCAACGCCGATATTATGGCTGTAGGTTGCGGCACCCTTACATTACATGTAACTCAGACAGCGTCGGCCGACGCAGGCCGACCCGATTTATCGTCGGGGACAGTCTTAAGCCGTCGTGAGAAATATTAAACACGTTTAATATTCTACTACGCGACTGCCCCCGACGCACACCATCGCGTCTGCGTTCAACTCACACAGACACGACGCGACAACAAATCGCGTCGGGGCTGCGTCGGCCGACGCTGTCTGAGTTGGCCTTTACATGTAACTGCTCGCCATTCAACTCGCTTTAGGCCATCATCCTACACTAGATGTTAACATGGTTCATCAAGGATATTAACATTATTTTTTTTTTAACTATGGCGAGAAAGATGATGTTTTAAAGCCATACCAATAGAATATACTTACCTCATGTAAACTAAGAGCCTTCTCTGCCCTCCGTTTAGAATCAAAACGTCCGTAGATAGCAGACCACTTTCTGATTTCTTCAATTCGTCTTGGATCCTCCACCGCCATGTCAAAGATGTATGCCAGCTCTCTCATTGTTTTCTTATTCAGTTGTGGTGGCATATCTGGTTTTGGTATCGTTTCCATTAACGCAATTGCAGCTGTTCGTATATTATTGATACTTGCGTTATCAAGTTCGGCACCAGGAAGAACTTGGTACTGAGAGCCAACCAGGTTTCCAGGATTACCTACGCTCCCAGCTGGAGAAGGTGCACGGTCTGATGAAATACCACCTGATCGAGAAACTGAAAGCTGCGAGGATGATGTTGTTGCATGTGAATAAATTGGCATGTTGGTTTGTGCGCTCCACTTAACGTTGACACTGGGTGTGGACACTGGGACATTACCTTGTTGCGGTTGTAGACGGAGTTCTGATACAGGCGGGGCTATACTACGCGGTGGTGTTGTCAAGGGTTGTTCAAAAGCACCTGGATTTGTAACCCAGTCCTGTAGGGCTTTCTGAAGCCTACGAACATGCAGTGGCTTAGTTGCCATGCCAACTAATGCCATTATCTCTAAGAATTCTTCTTCTCCAGCTTCACATAACTGCTGTACATCATCTCCACCCTGCTGGATAAAATTGTCATAGTAAGTGAGCAGGTTGGCTCGTTCTAGAACTCTGTATAATTGCAGTTCGCTAGAATTTATCGGTGTTGTTTGCGTAGACATTTTTCTTCACTGCCCTTCAACAACAAAAGTCTGAAATCAGAAAATCAAAGGTAATAAAACAAAGATGATTAACTGAAAACATTTTATAAAATTATTTATATAGTGAGTAAAAATACGACTGCAAAAAAGAGAGCATGGTGGCACAGTGGCGGCATGTTCCTAGTCTCCCAATGCTCATCTTCATTGTGTCATTGTATAAGACACTTTTAATAACGGATCCAGTCCTTTGGACAAAATGTTATGCTGTTTGTACCATAACATAATTGTTCTGTGTACGAAAACCTCAATGTAAGTGTATGGATCATTATTTTATGTCCATGTCAATGTTGGGATGTGTAGTTGTGTTAATGAAAGGAACTGCCACTTATATACACAAGTCTATCACTTAAAATAAAAGCACTATAAGTGTACTAATTATCACATCTTTAATGTCCATTCTCTTTATTGAACTTGTGTAGCATATGTGTAAATTGTTAATTCCACCAATTCTTACTTCAAGATTTATTACATACAATTCAGAATTGACCCTCAAACCTACAAGAGCATTATTTTATATGGTGACAATGTGTGTATTATTAGTTCATTCTCTACACATTCTAATACTTGTGTTCAGTCTGTTTTGTAACATTGCTTCAATTGCTGAGCCTGAATCAATGAAAACTACTGACACAGAATTCCTCAGGTGTAGGCTTTGCAGTAGAATACTACTAGCAGCCTTCTCATGTTTGTTTTGTAGTAGTAAAAATTGTGTAAATCAGGCCCTGAACTATAAAAAATATATTTGAGTTACAAAGGATTTGTAACTCAAATACAAAGAAAAGTCCAAACCTTTCTGACATAAACTAGGGTAGCCATTGTCTGGGCTTAAGAAATCATCAACAAGTAAAATTGCTTTATTATTATTATTATTATTATTATTATTATTATTATTATTATTATTATTATTATTATTATAATACTATCTAAATTATATTTTACAACATAATAATTAATCTATACCAAAAACTAAAATGCTGGGTGAAAACACTTTATATTATCAACATATATCTATATATCAACAGTATATAAAATTGGAAAAAGAATGCAGGTGATTACAATAACACTCTTTTGGGAAGACTAAAAAAAATTCCTGGTTTATATTAAATTCAAAACTTAATAATCATCTCAAAGGTATGCGATGTGAAAAAATATGTAGAGTATTTAAGTTTGTCCATTATGGTTTGATTATTATTTATCATCTTTATATTTACTGTACAGTACAGTACAATACCTTGCCAAAATCGGTACAGGAAACACCAAAAAAAGTCACTATCAGTTCCAACAACCATAAAATCCAAAATCATACAATACAGTATCAGTCTGAGGAAGACACTACATAGTACTTGCATTCCGTACTAAGCAATTAGTATAGTTGCATATCATACATTAGTGGAAATTATTATACAACGGTTAGATTAATGCATGAAAAGAATTCCTGAGGGCCTGCTGCAAGGCCCAAACAAAATTTTGAATGCATTATCTAATCTATAATATAATTTCCTCTAGTGTATAAATAAGCACTATACTAAATTGCTTTATAAGTCAATCATTGCTTTAAATGTTAGTTTTGATAATCAACTACCGTATTGTACAGTAGCAGTCATTGGTTGCTATAGTGATATGATCAGTATCTGGATTGTTGCTGTAGTATGCGTTAACACACAGCAGTTGAAGTTCCACAGTATGGATACAATGAATAAATATTTGATTGTATTTTCAGTGTTTTTTATGAGTTTACTATTTTCATAGATATTTGTCAAAGAAATAAACATTTCTTAAAGCATTTGAGAAAATACAGTAGGCCTAAAATCACTTTTTTGGTCGGTGCAGACAGGTAAAATCGTGTGATTAATATCTAGGCTAGACTACAATCTACAGGCCTGGGCCTGGGTGGCCTCCTGCCTAGATCTAAACTCATTCTTTGAGTCTTTAAAATAGGTCTATAATATTTCTATTAAAAAATGTTCAGTTTATTTTATTAGGGTCCACTGATTTTTGGAATTCCATAATTTTTCATACAAAATACTGAATTTGAAGTAACTATCTTCAGTTTCTAATCAACCTTTTCAAGTTTCAATTTTTTCAAGTAATACAAACGACGATTGGGGGAGTGTCTGCCATCCATAGGCTTAGCCAGCGAGCTGTCTGGCCGTCCACGGCCAACAATTATTTAGCACGGCCACTTTTACTCTGACTGCTTGGCCTAATCAGCTTGGCGTAGCCTAATTGGGCCTGGTCTACCCTTAGAAAATTCTTTATATTCTTCAAATCTATCGAATGTTACATTAAACTAAAGCTAAATCATATTAACGTTTGATAAAAACAACCTTTATTGATTGAATGCACATTTTTTTCATACTAATATTTGGTGGGGATTCCTAAAAATTTAAGGATTAACCATTGCCTACCTGGTAAAAAGTTCACTTACAACACACATAGTGTTAAAAACATTTATTGTAAATGGACGGTTCTGAGTCACCCACAACACATGCACGTGGCTCTGCAAATACAATACTTGAGATTGTTGGTGTTTGTAACTCTCTGGTTATAATTAATTCAGGAAATACCGTAATGAAGATTTGTTGTTAATGTCACAAGTTAAATTTTATTAGTCAACAAAATGCAGTAGGTCTAGGCCTATCTCTCGATTCGGCGGACCTAGAGTACCATTTACACTAGACTAAGGAAAAAGATGAAGATGTACCAGCATAGCCTAGAAACATTATGTGAGTAACCGTAGCCATGCGCAATCTGTCTATAACTGAAATATTGTTGTGATAGCTTATTTAACACTATTTCTTTGAAGACAAAATTCCAACATTTAAACACCTCTAAAGATCATAATTTTCTAATTTTTTTTTCTTATGTTTGGGAGGGGGCATGGCCCCAAGGGACTACTCCCAGTGGCTTCCATTTTGGACGGCCTATTTCATTTTTCTGGCTAAACCCCTGCCATCTCTTTCTGCGGGCGCACATCGTAGTACGCAATACATACTATACAAGTTGTTTCCACCTTTTGCACATGAACAAAACCGTGCACTAATGAAAAATAAGTTGGGAATAAGAAAATAACCTTGGGAGTTACAGTGATGACGCCTCGACTGACTTCATAATAATTTGTGCATGGTACAAGCCAAACTTTTAGAGATGTTTTCTGTGGGGCACTAGTCACTACAAAATTCATATCTGAAATCTTCAGGTTCAAGCAGTATCTAATTATCTTCAGTACTAGGACACTACACATGTTACTTTACATTGAGAGTTACCTCAAGAGGAATTAATAAATTCAGTACAGAAATTTTATAATTTATATTTTTAACATTTTACAAAATATAGTGCACCATAATATACTGTACCATACTATACTTAATATAGGTAAACTTCAATTTAACTCCTAAGCTACTGGTATCTACCTAGACTGCATTGTAAATATGAGCAGCATTTATTCCTTATGTAATTTCAGTATGTACAGCAATATTATCATTTATTTCATATTTTTAACATTTTGTAAAATATTATTAGTGTACAATACACTATTTATAGGCCTACCATACTATACTTAATATACGTAAGCCACAATTTAACTGTCCTTGTAAATCTACTGTAAGCAGCATTTATTTAACATTTCAATTGTGTTTTATTGTATTGTTAGAATGTTTAATACCACAAATAGAATGTGACAACTACAAAGAGGATGAGTTCAATTGATAATAAAAAAAACCAATGAGTTAAATGTTTAACATACAGTACTCTACAAAAGTATGTGCCATGACTTTGGGACAGGTTGTTGCATTTTCTTTATACAATCTTGGCCTAAACTTGCATTGTTGACATTGTATCCCTAGAAGTAAAATTCCCTGCTTAACCAAGTTATGTTGTTTTTGTTTTACTATCTCATAAATATTAAATGGCAAACAATCCGCCTACATTAGCCATTTCGATCCGAGGGTAAAAGTACACAGTTTGCATGCGGTTCACGTAGACAATGGGTGCGGTCGTCGATTTTAGTAGACTCTACTGTATTTCAAATTCCTGGATCCGCCACTGTAAATGTTTATTCATTAATTACTCTGGCTAGCGGGTCATTGTTCATAGTCAGTACAACAACTTCTACTGTTGTTAGGTGGATTGTCTACCCATGCCAAATTGTTCCTACAGTAGGCCCCTATACCAGTAGAATGTTTGTAAATCAGCGAAAACTTAATTGCTTCAATCTTCATCAAAATATTTTAATTTGTAGCCTAAATAATATTAATAAATGTGTAAAAAATACTACCAGATCGAGGTTAGAGAAGAAAATACAAGCCAGGAATACTTACGTTCATGTTTAATGAAGCTGAATGGTGAGCGATTGTTCAGGCCAAGTAGCTAGTGTCTTAAGATAATTAAATTATTTCAAATAACTCTTTATATTAAGAATCATCACTAATGTGATTGAAATCTTCAGGTAAACCATTTCCATAATTTTTGAATAATATACTGTTATATTTGTTTGTAAAGTTGCCAAAATCTAAAATTACAATGATTTAAGTTAAGAAACTATCACAATATAACTCCAATCAAAAACTGTGCGCGACGGTCGCCGGACGACCCGATTCTATGTAGAGCACAACGCCACGATATGTTCAGACTACCACCAACAATCAGTAGACGGCGTTCCGTCGTATAGCGCTTAGAGGGAGCAGAATTTTTCTCATATTATTAGTGAGCACCCAGTTTAAGGGAACGACACAAAATACTCGGCTATTACTTGTGCTGAAATTTATTATTTATAAGTTCTCATACAGTTCCCGTATCTTCTGACAACTGCCACTGTTTTTTACACAATGGTGAAAAATAAGAACAAAATAGGAACATTTTGAGCCTAAAATTGGCTAAAAAAAACATAAGAACACCGAGCCTGATTTTACTGGTTCTTATTTTTTTTTTTAAAGTGTAGCCCTACTCTACTGCTGGATTTAATGAAAAAAGTTACTTTTTTACATTCTGCTTCCACTTACTATGTACCCATGCATTGTGTGAAAAAATAAATCAGATTCTACCTCGATTGCCAGGTAGCCTAATGTCTAATAAATTTATTTGTGGTCAAAATTTTCATCATAAATTGCACAAAAAATAAACGAATAGAAAAATAGATATTGTCCCTCAATTGTTTTTACAAACAAGCACATTTTTGTCACAAAAAAACAAATCTAGCTAGTATTAGTAAAAATGTATTAGGTGTTTAGTATTATTACTATTATAATAATTATTTATTTGACTGCTCAAACATTTATATTCAATTAAGGTACATCAATTCAGTAAACTTTTAAAAATTGTCTACAAGAACATAAACTCAGTACAGTACTTGTAATATACAGTACAGTAGTAGGCTAGGCAAGCAGTAGTAAGTATATCACACCCATTCTATTCCCATGCAGTAGCTGGTTTAATGCATTCAATATGGTCAACAGTGTTTCCTTATTAAAAAACACTTCCTTTAAATTTAAAAAAGAAATAGTTTTGAGTTTATATCATGATTATATATATAATTTAAAAATTCACATATCATTATATAATTACGTAATTATATACGTGGGGCGAATGCAACCTCATCGTTACCAATTTAGTGTCACACCCTTCTATAAAAATGGACGATTCCAGCCTTGATGATTCCCCGGTGGTGTGTGTAGCGAACAACATTGGTGAGGTCAATTTTCTGGCACGACAATGCTCCCAACCCCGCGATTATCGCTTTCCATCTGCTAGGCTTAACCACTCTCCGTCAAGCTATTGTGGCCTAGAATCTCACTCACATTAAACGGTGTTTACTAAGAGAGTTTTAACAACTGATTTTTGACATCTAGTAATAATAAAAGATCGAGATACAGTCAAACAACTCACCACAAGATGATTTTATGAAATGATGAACCATTCAAAGGGTGTTGGATCGAAATTTGGCCACTCTGAAAATGCTTACTTGATCCCGTCGGTCCGTCGTGTATGGTTTGTTGTCGGTCCCACTTCCTGCCTCACGAGGATTCAATTGCCTCCTCAACAACACACGTCAGAAAATCCTGAAGGTGATATGTATTGTCTTCTAATAGATTCGAAATTTTACGATTACACAGGAGGTGACCATAGGACGGCATACGGGTATAATATTCTAATCCCCTTCCCCCACGCGTTGATAATAGAAAAAGGGTGGGGATATTTATGTGACGTTGCGGAGTGTTGGTTATGCGTGAGCGTCACCTCTCCCCCGTGATTGGCTAGTAACACCCCACGTGAGTATCATCTTGTTGAGGGGCCTTGCGGTAGTGACGTAGATGGGTCCCCTTAGGGGGTGAGGGTATTTGTCTGAAGACCATATTTGGCAGTGACCACCGTCTGGGTTTAATGAATATGGAGGGTCGCTTTGTCACAAAGAAGTCGGATATTTTATATGGGTTTGTGGACAATGAAACGGGTTGTGTGGTAATGGCCGCGTCTGATGGGATGATTGTTGTTAAATGTTGTGTACATTTTTTTGTAGGCCTACGTGTATTTTTTTTTATTTTTTATTCATGGCTTACACTTCTAAATTTAGATTTTTACAGCGTACCTCCATGGTTAACAGAGCGTGTGTGGGAGATTTTTTAATAGAAGATTCACTTTTTTTTAACATAATTAGTTCATTAATTAATACAAAGTTCATTAAAAAAGTAATTATTCATAAAATGAACACTAGCAATAAATTTTAAGAAGGCCTATCTAATACCTCCTTGGTCGCACCTATAGGCTATACCAACCTCAAATAACTAATTATATATTATATATAGCTTATATTATTATATATACACTAAAATTAAATTATTTTAACAATAATATTTCAATTCAAAACACAGCAGGCCTGCATTGGCTTACTTAATTATACACTGTTAATTATTTAATAGAAACTTAATAAGTAAAATTATTGGTGGTAATTTATTGTTTAAATCCAATTCGTGTAAATGCCAGATTCGGTTAATTGAGTTTTTGGAATTCCAGCAATCATCTGACTAAGATTAGATAAATTTTGGATTTCGCGTACCAACTCAACGTGGGCCCACGATCTGGGAGGCAGAATAAAATGCAAAACGTCGTTTAGGGTCGCTCGTGCGACGAACACGTCTGAGTGAAAATTACCAAAGGCGCTGTAATAAAAACCTCCGAATTGAGCGAGTAGAGTCGGTTAACATGGTGTGTATGCATCTGAAAGCTATGGCGCCGTTAGTAATTTACCAGCGGGCCAATTTCGCTTATTCATAATCCGACAAACGACTCACATGATAATATTGCTGCAAATTGGCATGGAAAGACACTGAGCTCCAACTACGAATAGATACATATTTTATTATCACTAACATTATTCAGTGCTGATGTACAGGGTAAATGTTTAATGTACGACCAACTTATGACTGACGATGTTGATTTCCTGTTTCGTATGGTGATGATGGGAAAATGTTTTTTTCAAGCTTAGGGATATGGTTATCAAAATATAAATGATAGATCTATCATAGGCCTAATTATGAATTAAATAAATGTAGTTGTGTATCAATTTGAACATAAAAAATAGGCCTATATGAACAAAGTGATTTACTTTTTACGATAATATTATCCCAGATCGTTCTATTTCTTATTGTAGCCATTTCATACAATAGGATTATATTTTCAATATATTCCTATTATTGCAACAACAACAACAATAAATAGGCCTAATATAATAGCCCTAATAATAATAGGCCTAATAATAATTATGATAATAATAATAATAATAATAATACCAATAATAATAATAATAATAATAATAATAATAATAATAATAATAATAATAATAATAACAATAATAATAATAATAACAATAATATTATAGGCTTATATAACAATTTAAATTCATCTACCATCCGTGCGTGTATACACAATGTGGAGATATTATTAATAGTTTCATGAATGAGGATAATTACAAACTAACCATGTCAGTGACAATTCGAGTCTCGCCTTAATCATATCCTAATGCTAAATAAACTTAATACGCAAATAACTAACCAAACTAAGAATTTACAGTAAACTATAAATTATTTCACCTTGTTATATATTAAGCGAAGAACGAACAAACATGATCTGATCCACCCATTTTTTCGAACTATATACTTTTAGTAATTAAAAGTTTAATTGTAATTGCAAATTAAATGGAAAACATAGAAGATAGACTAATTTTATAACTCAACTAAAATCTATTTAATGGTTTTGATATTCCTGTATTATTGTTTTTTCCACAGTGCGTGAGGTTTATTGGCCCACTGTCTCAGTATTTTCTTTTATTTCTGCAATAAAGTGATTTAAAATTTAAAAAAAAAATGATATAGACGTTTTGTGAATTGCAATAGTGAAAATATGAAAATGTCTGTAGGATATGCTACAGAAATGTGTAGACCTAATGTTTTAATGTTTTTTGTTTTAATGTTTTGTTAATGTTTGTTTTAGACATTAGACGATATGAATTATGGATCGTTTTTATGCACGATAGGCCTGATGATGCATGTGACCTATTTCTATAGGCTTATTAAAGCTAGAATTTTGTTGCGCACACATAAAATAACAACCCAACCGGTATGTCACCCTTGTGGAAACGCTTTTGTTGCCGCGGAAATGTAAAACGTACGCCGCGTATAATATATTCGCGCTGTTGTCCCGATAAAACGCATCATCATCACGAATCGGAAACGCAGTCGTCAAGTATTTTGCTGAGACACACGTACACACGCATGAGCACTGATGATTGATACTGACTACAAAATACTATTATTTCTAATTATAAAAGTCTTAAATCAGTTTATTGTGTTTTAACCACACTCTAAATTCCCTAACCGGGGGTGTAGGTTTTAGTAGATCTGATCATGTATCAATTGTAGCACTATTTTGTGTTTACAATAATAGCCTAACCAAGTTAGTCTACATATCGGATGTTATACTGATGACATTTTAAAATTTTATGTAAAATTATAGTGCGCTCATCAAAAGGTGTTTCAATTGTTGGTTACTACACTTCTTTGAAATAAATAGGATTTTTTTAGTGCAGGCTTATGTAAGACTTAATTTAAAAACTGGTACTATTTTCTCAAAGTAACAAGAAGATCTATTCAGTGCATAAGGTACTGTTTCTGATTATAATGTTGTCCCTCTACAATACCACTTATCACTCTACAAAGTATTGCTAATAGCTCTAGAACTGTCCACTGTGTACAAACAGCAGGCGCGCCTGTAACTATGACTGCTTGTTTCTTTGCAAATTCTCCACATTCACAGGTCTTCGGAATATCCGACAAGAATGTTGCCAATAATGTGTGTGATTAAAATCACATGGATTTATTCTAATTATTAACTCCTTTCCAACACTAATAAAAAGGAAGTTCTCAATTTAGTTTGCTTTTCTCTCTGTTAGTGCGATGCACAGGCGAATTTGCGTAACGTAGGATAGTTTGGTAAAATCTCATGAATTATTCATAATCATCCTTATAGAACGTATTTTGCGCACGCGCTGTTTTTAAGTCTGTGCCAGCCTCAATGATCAGCTGTTCTGTGCATCGCTCGCAAGCATAGCGAGTAACGCAGTGTTCGATTGATCAGACTGTTGTTGTATGAGATTGTATTTTAATCAATGCAAAAATAAAACTGGTGATGGATTTAATACATTGAGGCGATACATTTACTGTCGGTCTACAAATACAATACGAATTTTGTGGTTCAATTAAAGTTTATTAAGAAATTCCACTATTGTAAGCTAAGAAACTTCGCTCGATGCTGCGAAGCTAGGACTTCGAAAGTTATGCCCATACAATGTGGTCCACTGGCGCTATTTACGATAGACGGGGCTTAACGCGAAGGATTTCCATCATATGTGATCATCCGTCATTTCATGCATTCATTCATTTCATATATTTATTCGACCAATACACATTTACAATAGGTACAGTACAACCAATTGGTCATGCAATAAGACATACCGTGTCATAATTTTTTTTAAATTAATTGTTCCTTTTATCCGTGCCTAGTATAATTAACATAAGAAACAACATATACAAAACAAAATAAACAAGTTGCATATAAATATTCTTTTATAATGTTTACTTTGACATATTTATGCAGTTCACGACAATTATAAAAGAGACCGGATGTTAATTCCGGTACCGTAACAGGCGGAATGAAGGCTCTAATGTTGTGATTAAACACTTGCATATTCTGCAACTAAAAATAGGCCTTACTCATATAAGACATTGTGCTCACTGGATCCTTTGTTGAATTAGGCCGCTGCCCATCTAATCTTCATTATAATATCTAAAACTATTAAAAGGGCCGCTTTTTAATCAATTGTATCTGCTCAGTTCGCCAAAAATTTAATTTTCTTTCACCTTACTCATTGTAGGTCCATTGTTCGACACAACTATAGCCCCTATTTAGAGATGCGTGGACGCGTCATGACACAATAAAGATACAAATTGGTTTGGGAAAAAAACAATAAATAGGCCTAGTTATATTATTATACCCACGAGTGTCTTTCGAATTTCTGAGATAACTGATGTGTTGGGAGTGAATTTAATTAATCTTATTATTTCGTCTTGGCATCATATATACAAGATGTAATCGTATTTATAATCGTGTCAGAATCGAGTTTCCCAGTCTTAATATCATACGTTTAACAACTATTTAATCATACTGAAAGTAAATGTATTTAACTTCAGAATCTACTATACCAAACTTGTTTTATTTTTGCATTGATTCAACAAGGCTCATAAAAAAAGAAAAGTGTGTCGTTTTCTATCAAAATCGAACACTACGTCACACTCGAGATGCACAAAACAGCTGGCCCGGGATTTATCAATCTCAGCTTAGCAAATGTCTTAAGAGTCAAAAAGTCCCTAAGCAAAATTATCTAAAGCCGATTTATCAAACCATCTTAGCAAAATCTTAGCTTAAAATTGTCTTTGATGGTTCATGCGTACAATCGACATTTTAATTTTAAGCAATTTTTAAGTTAAAGCAATAGGATAAATTTGGAATTCTATAGGAATGATTATGATTATGAATAATTAATTAACTTTAGCAAACTATCCTACGTTACGCAAATTCGCGATGTACACGCGTTCTTCGGTTCGACTATAGAGGGCGACAAACATATACTTTCTCAACTCATCGTCCACTGTACCGTGACTGTGATGGAAACACGTGCTCAAAATTTAATAACGTGTCATTATTGAGTTTCTGATTCGATCATGAAGGTATATAGACTAATTACCACATAAATATTTACATTTGATTGTTTTGAAAATATCAATCCTATGTATCACCCTTAGTATTATAATAAATTATAATATATTATAATAAATTATAATCACTATTACAAATTATGCATTATCTATTAGGCCTACATGACGTTCCAAACACTATAAAGACTCGGTGGAAAGAAGAGAAATATTACAAATGATTGAAACTAAGGAAATCATGATCGTTTAATAGACTCCACACCTCACTGTATTTACTAAAAATACACAACCAGACAACATTATAGATCGGTTATACAACTGAAAAGCTGTAAAACAATTCACAAATGTTGCAATTAAAATTGCTGTGCATCCCTGATCACAAAATTAAAGGCAAGGTACTTGTAGAAGTTCACAAAATAAAAATAAATAATTGCCTGATGCAGCATTTCATGTTACAATAAAAGTATAAAATATAATACTTTTCCAAAGAAATATAAGAGCTGTTTTAAAATTATGTAAACTGTTTTAGTAAGTTTATTCAAATAAGCTGTCTTCTGGGCGGTCTGTGTCTATATCCTTCCAATCTGGGAAGATAACGGGAAGGTCTTTCGTCTTTTCCAACATCAATGCGTTAAGTTTCTCCTCCAAAAAATACGATCCTTCAATAGATAGGTGGAGGCCATCTTCTAAAAATCGTTCCCAATTCTGTCAAAAAAAGAAATATGCATAAATAAAAGAAATGTTAGTTATAAAAAATATAATAAATCTAATTTTTAGTAAATAAATTATTCATTTTGGAATTTAGTTTTTTTGGAATATATTTGTTTTGGTATATATTTACAGTATTTAGTGTTCCTTTTTTCATACATTTCTTCCATCAATCAATCAATCAATCAATCAATCAATCAATCAATCTCTCACCAGCAAATAAATCAATCAAGTAATTAATCAAACATTCAATCAATTCATCCATTATTTATCTACTTCTTTATTCATTCCTTCATTAATTTATCCATTCTTTTATTTGCAACGGCACTATTTTGACATCACTTGTCAGTGTATTCGTAAGTGGCTGTTGAATTGGGTACTGATCTGTACTTTATGCACCACATAGTGGTCATTGCAGACTTACTGGCTCCTCTTGCATGGATGCCAGGTCGATGCAGGCAACATCACACTGCTTAGCCACAGAGCAGCAAGCGTTGCTATACTCTTGTGTCACTGCACTTCTTCTGTTAAGTTTGGAGACATCTGCATCAGGTGAAGAAATAAGATTCATGTGAGAATAAAAAATGGTTTTGTAAAAAAAAAAATATGCAAAGTGTAAGCACATGTCTGACCTTTCACCCTACAGTGTTTACTCCATGCCTTTTCATCTAGTGGTGGTGGTGTGATAAGAATAAGTTTTTCCTTAGGAAGTCCAATTTCAGTTAAATAATCCACAATCTCCTAAAATGATAAAATGCCAATAACTGTTTTATTCAATATGAACTATTTATGTTTTTCAAATTTAACAACAAACAGGTACAGTAGGCCTACTATTGTATTCTGTTGTTTTATGCAAATAAATATTTATGGAACAGATACAAACTTATCATGAATTTTCTAAACATTGGGAAACAACTGCCTTCGCAATATTATTCAATATCTTACTCTGCGGAAATATGTATAATTGACATATTTTTTTAATGTTATGTACTGTATCAGTTGGATCTCCCTCACTGATCATACCTTAAGGTTTTGACGAAAGTCATCAAGAGGAACATGTTTCTGTGATTGGCCTTTCAAGACAGCATCATTGGCCCCAAAGAATATCGTAACTGCTACTACATCCGAGACGATATGTTCTGGAACAATCTTGCGAATCAAGTGTTTTCCCCAACTTGTGTTGTACCCAGAAAAACCACGATTTAAAACATCACATTTTCTACAAGAAAAATATTCTGTGTACCAATATATTGATATGTAGTATTGTTATTTTCTATCATTGCACTTTGTTTCCGGACTCTAAAAAGGAACACGAGGGTCAGTGGCAGATCTAGGAATTAAAAATAGAGGGGGCCTGGGGAGTAGGCTCTCACAGATAGAGGACCACCTCAGTGGGTCATATTTATTAAGCATAAATTTGAAATTGGAAAATATTAACTTAATCCAGCTATGTTTTATTGTGTTATCACTTCACATGAATAACTATGCATTTATTGTGTGTGGTGGTTGGCCTTAATGGGTAGGAGAGACTGGGCCTCCAAAATACAATTCTAAACACAAGTAAGCATAGCTTTCAAAGCCTTTTAACATCTCATTATCATTTGTACAATTAGTACCTGAGTGATTGAATCACCAAATAATATAATTTTCGGCCATTTACTCATGTCGAAGCAAAGTAACACACACACGTCATACAAATCTTAGATTTTTTAAATCATGTTCATCTTATGTGCATATCATCTAAATGTTAGCATGAATGAATGCAATTTAAATACAGGGAAATAAGATTTTGATAAATTTAAAATCATAAAATGGTAAAATTTTGGAAGATTAGTCTAGCATTTGGTTCCATTTTTAGACAGCTAGATGCAGTATAATAATAATAATCCTGGATTTATATAGCGCCTCACGTTGACACAACCTTGAGGCGCTTAAAGTCAGACTCCGGAGGAAAAAAAATTTTTGATATGTTGTAGAACTGATTTTTTAGACAGAAAAAATGTTGTTTGACGAAAAACTGGGGAACGGTGAACGAGATACAGATTTTTTAATATTTAAAAACAGGGAGGGGGAAGAAAGGGGCGTAACCGCCATTTTTACACCTTTTTCAAAAATCTGTATCTCATTCACCAACAACAACAACAACAGAGAAGAAAAACCAAAACAAATGCAAATGTACCAAAAAAAGACCATAAAAAGGAGAAAATAGTAGGAATTCTGACGATGAAACAAAAAGATAATCTTATACACCTGAAACACAAAAATCGTCAAAAAATCTTCTCAAACTCAGGGTAGTGTTATACACGGGTCACCTTCGACGGGAGCACAGTTGAACTTGCTTAAGTAGAATCCAAAATGCCATAGAAATATTGTTCGACTTAGATAAAATATGACTTACAGATTGTTAATTAATGGAAAACACAACAATTTCGCTTGTAAAATTAGATCGACTTAGAAATGATTCGACTTAGAAATGATTCGACTTAGGCAAAGTCAACTTAGGCAAGTTTAACTATATAATAAATATACGGTATCAATGCTTAACTACCTTTGAAGCTTGTCAGCCAATGATGCTCCCCATCCTCCTTCTCTAAACGCATGCTGAAAAATTAAGTAATATCAGGCAATAGTCAAGAAAAGTGCAAGACTGATGACACAGATGTTACTGAAAAGGTTAACATAGGGGCATAAAGACAACTCGAGGCATATTTCATCAAAAATTTGTGCAGTATTAGTGCATGATTTTAATATGCATGGGCAGTTTCAAAACTTTTTTTCAAATTGGGAAACTGCATAGCTGGCTCTCCATCTCAGTTTGAAGTACCATAAAACTAATATATTCCCTGGGTCACTACAGAATTCCTTTGTTTGGGTTTTAGGGTGCATGGAGGTAGTTATTTAGGGGGGAGGGGGCCCTTCCAGAAAGAATATCAACCTCTAGATGACCGAAAATGGCACTACAGACTGTGACAGACATGTGTTGGCTTGGTGTGGGCCTATTTTTATATGTGTTATGGTTTGACTGCCCAACGAGCTCTGTCCGGCGGGGGGTGGGGGCTTGACCTGACCGGTGGGGGCTTAATCCCCCGCCACTGTTAATAGATGATGGGTTACTCATATAGTGGGTCACATTTATCTGAGACAACTATAGAAGTATAGTTGTCTCAGCATTTATTAAGCATAAATCTGAAATTGGAAAATATTAACAAACCCACCCACCCATTGTTATATTAATTCAACACCTCACATGCATAACTATGCACTAGGCCTAGTATTAGTAAAGTATTATTACAGTTATTATTATTATTATAGTGTTTGTGGTAGGCGAGACTGGGCCTCCAAAAAACACAAGTAAGCATAGCTTCCCAAAGCCTTTTCACATCTCATTGTTATTTGTAGAATTAGTACCTGAGTGATTGAATCACCAAACAATATAATTTTCGGCCATTTACTCATGTCGAACCAAAGTAATCAAGATAATAAATTTTCTTATGACAGTGAGTGACTGGTAGTACAGTTTCCTAGCTCTCCAACTTGTCCTTGGAGTCTTTCGATCGTAGCCGTTATTTGGTGTTTTGGTTTATACCACTATTTAGTAAGGAACCTCAAATCTTAATAATGCTGTGTAACGTTAATTATTCGGTTAAAAATAATGTGAAAGCAATTATAACATTTATTTTTTTATAATACATTTATGTAAAGTATATTCTTAATTTAAAATGATTTATTAAGTTCATATATGGTAAATTTAAAATTATAATAGTACCCACAATTGTATTCGAGTCGATTGTTGCATTACATCCACTTTAGTACTTTGTAAACATGGCGAACATCTGTAGAAGAGCTCTGCTTTCAGGTAGAATTCTTTTGCCTGTCAGGGTAGCTTCAAACCAAAGATCCCAATCGACCGAATCAAAACATGTAGCAAACTCGTCAGCTATTACAGATGATGATATTTTTACAGAAGAACATGCAGAGTTTAGAAAATCTTTGAACAAGGTAGGCTCGCCAGTCTCAGTCAGTCAGTCTGTCCGTGGGCTGGGTCAACAGGGAATCCCTGGCATAAAGGATGTGGATGCGCCAAGCCTACTACAGTAACTGTATACATGTGAAGATTTTTCCCTACTCTCTTTTATAATTATTATATTCATTGACTGCCTTTTCTATTTTTGGCGCTAATGCACTTTAGTACTGTAACACTTCTATCTTCAAAACTTCTATCTTCAAAACTTGTCTTTTTACCTACTGTGTGCTCCTAACAATATCTTAACGATGTTTCTTCTTTCAGATTCTGCTTAATAACATCGGTTTTTAGCATTTTATTACAAAAAACCAAGGCTTTTAACGCCTAATATGGCTCCATCTGTCATCTCCAAAGGCGAATTGGCGATTATTGAGCCTAATTCTGTTGCCAGAATTCAAACTTTATGATTTGGTGTTGCCAGAATTAGTAAATCAAAATGAAGCTTCAGATATTCAGAACTTATTGTGGAGCGCAAGACTCCACTAAAATTAACAGTATTAAAATTTCGATGGCTCGTGAAAAAAGAGAAAAGGAAGGCAGCAGAACATGCATACATTATGAAAGAATGTATATGTAGGTCTTAATTAGTGCAATGTCCTAAGTGTAATAATGGCCATGATTGACAAATGATTGATTGTAATAATTTTTGGGTCTAAATATAATACAGGTCCTATGCATTTTAGGGTCTAAATGTAATAAAGGTTCTAAGTTGAAGTGTAATGATTTTTGTGCCTAAATGCAATAAATGTCTTATGTGTAATAAGTTTTGGGTCTAAATGTAATAAAGGGTCTAAGTGTAATAATTCTTGGGTCTAAATGTAATAAATGTCCTATGTGTAATAATTTTTGTGTCTAAATATAATAAAGGTTCTAAGAATTTTTGGGTCTAAATGTATAAAGGTTCTAAATGCAATGTCCTAAAAGGCAGTGTAATAATGACCATGATAGACAAATGATTGATTGATTGTAATAATTTTTGGGTCTAAATGTTATACAGTTCCTATGTATAATAATTTTAGGGTCTAAATGTAATAAAGGTTCTAAGTGTAATAATTTTTTATGTCTAAATGTAATAAAGGTCCACGACGAGGGGGCCGATTCCCTGACGAGGGGCCAGATTTCCCCGACGAAGTAATAGCTGTTGTCCCTAAATGTAATATGTC